GTATGAAAAGGGGAAATCAGATCCGTGTCTGAGCTCCTCGGTGGAGACTGAAGGTGCTGTGGCACAAAGAGTGGCTGCTCCCCAGAGAAGCAGTGTTGCTTCGAAAACCTGATCCCTGTTTCTGGCGAGAGACCACAGATTTCTGAGCTGCATCCCAAGGCCACAAAGACGGACAAAGAGGGTTGTGGTTTTTCTTTTTCTCTTTCTGAAATATAGCCTTCCCCATGAAACATAGTCTTCAAAATATAGAGTTTATATTCTTTCTTTGTAAGTTGGCATTAGCATATCACAACTGAAGGGCATTCTAACAAAAAAAGGATTCCAGTCTGAATAGTAAGTCCACGTTGGGCAAACGAATTCTCAGCCCCGTGGGTTGGCTCTCCTTGAAGTCTTCTCATCACCCTCTCTCCTCCTGAGTGGCACAATTCATCAGTCAGCCCTTGGCCATTTCCTTTAAAACACAGCCCGGTCTCAAGTCACGGTTTTCATCCTTGGAAAATTGCCATGTTTGGGACCCCTGGCTTTTCTGAACATCATGATTCAGGCAAAGAACAGAAAACAGAACAAAAAGCCAACTCGAGTTAAGAGGTGGTCAGACCTGTCTGAGGGAGAGAATTTTTGAGCAGCCGTGGACAAAGAGTGTTGGTGAAAGGTGCTGGGGACTTAGGAGCTGGGATGAGCTGGTCGATGTCTACCCCACCCCACCCCCAGGCCCGCTCCTCTGCCCAGATCAGTGTGCGATCCAGCCTCCTCTGTGGCAGCAACTTCAGGCTAGCTTGGTCAATGAATTCCAGAGGGTTTGGGGTGCCCACCTCCAAGGCATGTACAGCGTGCCACCCTCAGCACTTGCTATTTGTACCTCTGCTGGAGGCTGGTCATGAAGCATGCCTGGATCAGGGTCATCTCATGGGTGACACGCCCCTCCGTGGCCCCAAAGCCCCACCACCTCAGGTTGAAGTTCAGCAGCCTGGATTTCTCTGTACAGTGCTGGTCCTGTCCATACCTCCCGGTCAAGCATGTCTTCAGGATCTCTAGGAGTTCCTGCTCCCCTGGACAGACAGGCATGTCGTCCTCGGACAGGTTACACAGGCTGTCTACATGACGACTTCCACCAGACTGGTGATTGCTGGTCTTGTAAAACTTGTCTCAAGCAGTGGAGATTGACATATAGCCACCCTCATTGTAGCGTCCCAGGGAAAGCTGAGGCTGGCAAGGCTTCCCAGGGAGCTGGGGTCTCCGGGCCATAGCCACTTCTCTGGTGGACCTGCAAGGATCTAGCTTACCCACGGGTGGACAGATGTGTTGGTTTGTGGTGGATACTGCCCTGGGCGAGCCTCACGACCAGCTTCATACATGGTGGTTCCTCTCCCTGTAGCACGAGTAGAACTTCCTCCTTGTAGTATTAAATTAAAAAAGGAATTATTTACATTATTTATGCTGTGGGAGGGTGAGGTGAGGAGCCAGCCCCCACCCGCTGCTACTCCTAGGAGTTCAGTAATACTACTTCTGGGTTCAGTAATGCACAATTGTACGGTTGAGATATATAAGTATTATATTAAAGTCATCGAGA